AGAGAAAGCATTAGATAATTTCATAATGTAATCAAAATGATTTGTAGTATGTTTGCATTTGCATGTTTGGCTATAATGGAACACCCCTTAATTGTACTAATAAAGGAACACTATTGTACCCATGCACGTAAATAAAAAAGGAATTTATATTGAAGTACCTTGAGTAGTTTAATTTTTAGACGACGTCTCTTGTGACGTTTGTATAAATATGAAATGATATTGATATAATATTGGTATAGTAAGACTCTTTGAGTAACATCAAATATTTATATTAATTTATTAAAAATTTTAACTAACATACATATTTTATTACTTTAATTTTTGAGTATGAGTATTGACTAGCTTTGTTTAGCTTATTATTGTTTCAACTAACTTTTCAAATTTTATCAAATAATTAAAAGTGAGCGATAGACAAGAAAATATTTATAGATGACAGAAACAACCAATGAGTTAATTTTAATTATATTGATTTAATTTAATTTGTAATGACTCTTTCATTAATTAAATTCTAAGTTAAAATAAAAAAAAAAACACAAATTCACACCGTTCTACTGTCTGTATCTGCCTTGGTTAATTCCAAGCCCCAAGCAGGAAACAAATTCACACCGTTCTACTGTGTGTATCTGCCTTGGTTAATTCCAAGCCCCAAGCAGGATCGTGACAAAAGTGGCATTAGAGAACAGGTTTAGGATAAAGTATTCGAATATTGATGATAGTGTTAATAGGATAATTATTGAAAAATTTTATTAATTATTAAAATTAAAGTGAACTCAAAATAAAAATTATTATCCATTCATGCATAGTGATACACCTGAAATCATAGAAGAAGAAAATTCGATAGAAAACAAAGAGTACAGTTTACTATTAATGTGAACGCGAATGTCCTCACCGAAATGATGGCAGTGAAGACAGTTGATGCTACTGCAAAAGAGAAGTGCTATAGAGTTTTTTCGACATTAAGAGATTCGTTCAAACAGCCGTTGTTACCATTAGGGATTGATGGTTGTTCAATATTAGTGGAGCGAGCTAAAAGAGTGGAGATCGACTATCAGCTCACTCAGAAGCGTAAGGAGATGCACAAAAGAAAGACTGCAAAGGAATACATAAATCACTCAAAAGGATCCCATGAAAAGAAGTCCAAAAGTAATTTGAGTGGAGCTAACAGAGGTACGACCCAGGGTACTGGAGTCACTTGTACCAAATGTGGAAGATAACATAAGTGTGAATGCTTGATGGATTATAACACCTGTTATTGGTGTCGCTAGCCTGGTCAAATAACAATGTATTTTCCATCTCTTGGCCATAAAAGCGCTAAAGATTAGAAATTCGGTGGAGCTCCTTCACAGAAGTCTGCAGGCGGACAAAAAAAAAGTCTATAGTTTCAACTCCAACTCAAGGTCAACCAAGACAACCTGTTCGACCTCGATTATATTCCCTTACTCATAGTGAGCTTGAAAAACCTACTACTAGTGATGGTGATAAGGTTTGATTAGTTTGGTGCTTTCCAACATGCTTTCGTGCTTAAATAACCATGTTCTGAAATATAATGGAGTTATATCGAGTTTTTTACCTTTAGAGTGGTTACTTATCATATGGATGAATGAAAATTTAGTTTCATGGATAGCATCTGTCAACTTGTTTAGCGAAAATTTATTTGAAGTATGTTTATAAATTTCAAAGATGAAATTTTTTGTAAATGGGGATGATTCTAATGTTTCTTCCATCCATTAAAAGAAGAATCAAAACGTCAAATAGAGATAGAAGAGGAAACGATGAATATGGGGAGGGAGAGGAAACAAACAACAGAAGAAAAAGGACCAAGCATTCGAGACACCAAATAGAGGGGAGATGAAATGAGAGGTCAGAAGTTTGAGAGGAGAGCTCACCTTATAAATCGACATGAGTGACAAAATCTTACCGAGAGAGCCGAATCCGCGTGTGGGTTCGATCAAAGGAAAAGTTTTCATGGAAGGAGCCAACGTCGAGCTTCAAGCGGCTACAGTGAGAGAGCTCATGCAAGCACAAAGGAAGAAGAGGCGGTGAGGAGGAAGAAGCATGAGGAAGGAGAATGTTAAAGCCAAAAGAAGAGAACAATGTGCACAGAAGGAAGAAGGTGTTCGACCGCAGTGAGAGCTAATGCGTGTTGAAGATGAAGGAGATGAAGTCGCGTGATTACAATTAGGGCACAACTGAAACTTATAGAAGTAAGTTTCAATAACTTTAATTAAAATGTCTAATAATATTTTTTAAATTTTACACATATATATATATATATATA